TCCCTCACTCACTCACTCACTCACTCACTCACTCACTCACTCACCCATTGACCCGTCCATAACATACCCGACGCGCCGACTAAGACGTATTTTTTTTACAAAAAAATAACTCAAAAATCACAAAGCCTGCCCACTTTGTCTTTTAGAGTTGTTGGGTAGTACCTTTAATCTGGTAAAGTTTCATCCAAAAAGGAAAGATGGCATGTATCACCCCTGCCTGGTCCTCTGGTAAACTCGGCCTTAAAACGTTTGTTTTTATTCTCTAGGCAGTGATAAGAAATCCCATTTTCAGTGATTCCATCTTTGATTGCGCAAAACTTGCGATGTTCTTGACAGTCACGTTAGCATGGCATTTGGCGATAGTAATTGCCTTTATTCGTAGTTAGGTCAATGGGAAATATTCTTCCATTTGAATCTATGGGCCTTTTACGCTAACATTTGGCATGTGGCACAATCATTCCAGCTCAGGTGTCTGAAGTCTTGTTTTCCACCACATTTTGTTTACTCAGTACCAGGATTTCCTTTCTTTCCTCGTGAAGTATCGAACAGGATGATCTTTTTATGACTGGCCCTAGCCCCAGTTTCCCTCAGCCCTCAGGCAGGAGCATCCAAATGATTTGCTGGCTTCATTTTCACTAACTCAATCCTGGCTTCTTTTCCGAAAATAAAATCGGTCGATATCTAACATCGCTAGATCACAGTAGCTATAGTGAAGACCTTTAGTAAATTTAAAACTGGCTTTTGAGCGAAATCTCCACGAAACTTGTCACTTCTGGTCAGAAATACACTTGTTTTAAAATTCCCTTTAAAATCTGTTAAAGGGTATAATCGAACGGTTCTAGTTTGAAATAACGCACTAAATTCTTTCAGAAAGGAAATTTCGAGTTGAAGTGGTGAAATGTTCCGTCCAAGAATATAGCCAATCAAATTATGGGTAGTTGGAGGTTTCGTCCCCCAAGCGAGAATAGAGTTTATGAGTTCAGGGGGGCGAACTCGGTGGGCGCGAAAGAGGTGGCATTCAAATTATGCCTCTCTAGAGCCGCCCGCTCCTCGTGTCAAGGAAACCGTGTGAATGCCCCTCCGGCCAAGAGGGACGAGTGGCTCTAACAACAGACATGCAAGGGAACTGTTGCTTATTTATAGATCCCCCGCCCCCTTCCCTCGCCCTAAACCTATTCTCACTCCCATAAAATTTTGTTGCCAGGTGCTCTGGGTTTTCTTGGACAATTCGAAGTTTTGTGTCATTAGTTACGAGGGGGAACTGGACATTGAGCACACAACTTCAATTTACAGTATGCGATAATTTTATTTACCTCAGTTCGGACAGACAGACAGAAAAACGAAAGTATTGAGTAAACAACAGAAATGTATCAAATGTAGGAGAGAGGCTTAACGGGGTTCCATAGACCTGCAGGTAATTGTTACACCATTTGTCACTTGACTCTGCTGCACCTTTTTCCGCTAAAAAAATGCCAACCCTTTGATTAGGGCATGTTTCAAACAAATATTTTGAATGGTGGAATGCGTCAGAATGGTGTCGACAATTACAGCAGGTCAAGACATCCCACGAGGCATAAAATCACTTATTAAAGCGGTCGCCGCGCCCTGAAGGCCTGTGAAAACCTAAAGATTTTTGAAGGTAGCTTTGAACGACATTATATAACATAGAAATCTATTTTACAAAAAATGGGTCTATTCCTTTCACCCTTTAATAAATTATGATAATGAGATTCATTATGAAGGAAAAACGGATATTGAGAAAGAAAAATTTGCTGCTAACAACCGTAGTTCAAAACCCCTTTTGAAAAAAACAAAAAGCCTGGAAAAATGATGATTCTTCACAGTTTTACAGGAGCATTTCCTTGGGAACAAAATGTCTACAAAATGGGTCCACGAGTCAGTAAAATTGAATTTTAAAATGGCCTACATCCGTGCATTATTACAAACAAAATGAAATGTTTTTCGGTATGAAAATGATCTAAATATGAAATTACCGCATATAGCAAAACACATGACTCCAAGAAAAGCTGGGAAATAAAAAGTCTCATATAAAATGGTTTCACTTCTGTAAAATACCAGAAATATTATGCGGTTCGTATTTGAAACTAAAAGACTGAATGGTCTCTAAATATGTCAAGTAAAACTGTGAAGACATTATCAAAATGTTACGGCTTACACCAACCCATTCATAAAACAATGACACTTTCTACAGCATGCATTACAGAAATACAAAATTCTCTGGTTAAAAGAACTGTTTACGGTTAAATACCTCCCCAACATTTAAATACTTTATTCAAAGGAAAAAACGATCCCCCCCCCCGGAAAATTGAAGCAAAAGAATCTGCAAGAAAAGAACTTTGAAATCAAAATGTTTGTCAAATTTCCACTCAAATTTCTCTAACTTTTTTAATACCATAGTAAAATAAAATAGACCTAAATTTGATACAATAACACACTTTCTACAAATGATATACTCTGTCATTCGTTATCATCAACGCTTTCAGCTTCAAAAGGGATTAGTTTTATAACCTTGCTTACAATTGGCTAAATTTCGTTTCCACGTGTACAAAACAGCATATCACGTGTGCTATGCACTATCATCCTACATGGAATGTACTGAAGGCAAGTAAGGTGAAAGATTAAAAATAATTCTGGGACAATTGGACCAGCTGCATCATAAACCTCCCCATTATTTCATAAGAACTTTCTTTTAAAAGTTCAGACGCAGATCCGAACAAACTACAAAATAAAAGTTGAAAACATTTTCCAGTTCTAAGAACAAATTGTCAAGATAAATTGAAGAGATCTGCAGTTTTCTGTCTTAACTGCAAACTTGATGTAATGCCAATAATAACACATTGTACCAAGTTCTCAATTCGGCACGCATGAGTTAAGTGATCTCATAATACTCTGGTCTCGTCCTAAACATTTAGTTCTCTGAACCAGGCAGCACACGGATTCTAGGATTTAAGAAAGGTCCCAGTCGTCAATGAAGATTAATGGACATTAATCTGCAATACATACACTGTAACCCTTGAAACACACTGTGGACCTAAAATGTTTTCAACATCTTCAAACAGCCAAGTAACTTCAAATCATATTATTTAAGCTAAGCACGTCCAAAAAAACAGAAACAGTCAGCAAAGTAACTTGAGATGTTGATAATGTGGAAATTCAAGATGCAGCTTTGGCCTAGATGCCTGCTCAGTCATGCTGAGAAATACAGAAATAGTGTAAGTCTTGTATTAATATTTCTAAACAGCTTTCAGGAAACCTGGTTTGGCATTTAGTCAGTATATTGTTAAAAAGCAAACCGTTAAGAAGGTTGAAATATGCCCTGCATACTTAAACTGGTAAATAGTCCAGAAAATTATAAACTATAGTACACTGTAGATATGATTTGCTTCTGACTGGCGTGGTTGCTGAGATAACCATATATTCTGTTTGCTTGTTTGTTTATTTATTTATTTATTCCATATGAAAAAATATTGCATGTATTCTACAAAATATACCAATAACAAGGAATATGATAATACTCTTACTTAATTCACATCTCTGGGAAATGACTGATGCCAAATATTATTTATATAGTGCAACACTATTCATATACTGTCCAATACTGTCCACTGGGTGTAATAACTATTATAATTATTATTATGAAACAATCTACAGTTTGTGTATTCCCTTGCCCAAAAGTTTCACTTCAGTAATATACCTCATTTACTAGCAAATTAATTGTGACTTCACTATTATCTACCATTTGTTTATTGAGATGGTGTTCTACTTCTATTTGAGTGAATGTCTACGTCCACAATTCCGGTCCGGTCTGTGGTTTACAGGATCATTTACAATGGCTTATGTTCATTCCTCACTCATATTACGCTGCATCAAGATGACTTCTCAGTCTTCAGTGAATCTTGGATGCGCTTCATGCCTTCTTCAATGTACCCAAACAAGTGGACAATTGAACTACAAAACAGAACAGTATATAAGTAACGTATATCTCTTGCCAATCAGGCTCAAGGTCCGTACTATAAGTTGAGGTTTTTCCCTACTGAAGAGGGAAAACGCAGCATGGACCGAGATGAGGTTAGAAAGATATCTATTACATCTCTACTATGTGTTGGATGGGTTTGATAAGCAATTTCACACATGAAACAGCTTCAAATGACTGACATAACTCAATAGCAAGACAGTTTAATTCAAAATCGTTGCTAAGTTGTTAGCCTGATTTAATTAATACATGTTGTCAAAATTTTTAGAAAACGATCATTTCTTCAAGTTTAATTGCCTTGAGGGTTAAGAAAATGTGGAGATAAATTATGAGAAACATTGGCGACAAAAAGAGTTTCAAATTTTAGTAGTGCATGGCCTGCCAAACTGACCAATCACAGCGTGCATATTAACTGAGAGAAATAACAAATGTTTTTAATGTACAATACCTCAGTGAGCCCTACAGTTATTATGGGGTTTCCTTCAGACCAAAATACATTGTCCTATCCATTGCTCGCATAATTTCACATTATTGGACACGAGACTGTGTTTGACTGTGTTTGTGCTTTCAACTTTTCACAGTTATGGAATGTCTGTCAAACTCTACTTAATTCTTGTGAATTCTCAGCCCCACCCAAAATAAATAACATTACCGCTAAGTTAATTGCTTAATATACGTTGAAGTACCTGTGAAGGGTAAGCGGTCCACACTTCCGATCCAGATCCATAAAGAAATCTGTTAGGGAAAAATTACCATCAAGAAAAATGAAATTTAGGCCAATATTTGACCTTGCTATTATGCCTACCAATTCAATATGATCGTAGCCAGCGATGGATGATGTTGATTTCCCCCCCTGACACCCTAATATATTTATTAAATGTATTCTTCAAGAAAAACAATATCCTTGTGGTATTTTACCTCTGAATTCAAGTACAACAGGTTGAGCCTGGTCCCACATATCTTGACTGTACACCAAGTTATTAACTAGTAAAACATGCTGCTGGGTCATAGCATGAATCTTCTGTGGAATGCACACGTTTACAGGTGAAGTCATTGCATTAGAGCCTGAAGAGGGTTTGCCATTCCTAGAGGGTGTGGTCATAGTTTCATTGCTACCATTGCTTCCCACACTGCCAACGCTTCCTGAGGGGGATGGAGTGGGTGAGAGAGGGGACGGGGTGCCGGTAGTCCTGTGGACAAGAAACAATAATACTTTGATGAAAAAACTTCTGTAGGTTGGGATATCTCAACTACTGCAATGTTAAGGCTTTATGAAGCTGCCTTACTCCTGCACAATTCCATTTAGACTAGGATGCTGGATTTACTGGCTGCTAATGCAGTAACTGCCTTTCATGTAACCATACTTATATACACAGATTCAATGACTATACTAATTTATTAATTATGTTTAGACTCAACCAAATTTATTATATAGATATGTGTAGTGTTTCTATGCATATTTAGTTTTTAGCCTGTCAAACACATCTTTCATGAGCATCTGGCTAAGGGTACTAGATAACCACCCCCTGAGTATTTGATGTGAAATAAACTATCTTAGCTTATTTAATATAAGATAAAATATGATAAGCCCCAACCCATTTCCAAGGTAGCTAAGAAAGGCAAGATAGTAAGGCAAAGGAAATTTATATCATGAACAGCAACACAACTTCTTTGAAAACAAAATGCTTTCAGTGTGAGCCAAACCACCACATTTAATCAGAATTTGTTTTCCATTTTTATTTTCCTTTTTTCTTCATACAGTTACATTATTTGAGAAAAATACACATTGCAGAGTTTCAGACTTTCTTTTTAACTTTATCCTCGTGTCACTACCCAAGAAAATGACCAATGATCTTTGTTTAGGCTGGAGTAAATGTCCAGCAGAAATGTATTGTTTGGTCTTTTGTGCTGGTTCCTTTGCACTGATACACATGGAGAGAACTTCTATTTTACATGTACATGAAGCAGACTAAAGATGTGAGGTAGGCCCTACTCTAACTGTACTCACAAAAAAATACTCCAAACCAACACAAAACTTCCATCACTTACTTTGTATTTGATGTATAGGGTGAAGGAGCTTGAGTACTTTTTGGAGGACCCTGATTAACAACAACAGCAAGTGCAAATTTAAGTTCAGAAAGAAAGTCACACTTTGTATCAATGCATTGCATTTTAAGGTCATTCCTCACATTTGCATTGCGCATCCTTACTGCGCATAATTTATGGCGTCATTAGCGCGTGCTCATGCACACGCATATTGAAAACATGACGGATTTGCCTTGATATTGAGCTCTTTCAGTTGAAAAATGGCTCTAGCTCACCAACGAGCACGGGCACAGCAATTTTTTTCCAGTCATTGTAATCAACTAATCATAAGCTTCGCGTGAGAAAAGACTGATCTAAATTCTATTGCTGAAAATTTAACAAATAAGAAAAATAGCAGATACACTGTGGTCTTTTCTATTTTGCAGTCGGTAACCACGTCAAGAAATTTAGTTCAAATTTTAATCAAGGATTTAGTTTTTTGTCAGAATCAAACTTAAAATGCTTAGTTGTGTCCGACACAATGTATTGACTGTAGTTTAATGTGTTTTCTTATGAGTCTGGGCTCACAAAGATTTTACAATTACTAGGAATGCGTTTTCATAATAAACATTAAATAATGCCAAAATGGGGCATTTTCAATGCCTCACTGCTCCTTAATGAGCATGGGCACCCCCCTTTTTTATTTCAAAATTGAGGTTATCATATGACAAATATTCAAGTTTGAACAAAAATCTATGGTCACTTTTATTTCAGAGGAATTACCTTAAATATCCAACTAATAAATTATGCATTTCAATAAAAATAGTATACCATTGCATTGACTCTCAAATAGTAACTACGGGGATCAATATGAAAACCATTAATTTTAGCAATTTCAAGCAGCTAATGCACATTTCAAAGACTCTTGGTTTAAAATGTTCATAAACGCTGGTTAAAGTTTGTAATGCGTTACCTTTTCTTGTCATTTAATGGTACACTTACCCTAAAATGCTCTGTGACCATCTGCAGATACAACAAAGAAAACAAATGCTTGTCAGTGATAGGATAACAAACAAATTAATAAAGGGTGGCCCAAAACTTACAGACAAGCTCAACTGAACTAACTACCTTCTTGTTTCCAACAAAGTATCTTTATAATGAAATGGACAAAAACAACATGGTTTTCTATACATTTCAATAAACACAATGAATGTAGCCTTGGAAAGCAAATCTGAAAGGCGAACAGAGTGATTAAAATTTCCAGATCAACAGCTTTCCCTCAAGAAGAAGCTATAAACAAAACTATTTTAGTGGATTACAGGTCATCAGTCTCAAATGGACCTTCAGGAAAATCTAATGCACTCACTGTTTACATGCAACATGGATTTGGCACAGATCCAAAATCCTTCTCACCTTGACATTTCTCATGACATTGTCTTTCCTTAATTTATACAGCCTCATGTACAATATAGATTGAATCCTCATACTAGATCAGAGAACAGAAAATATTCACATGTTTAGTCACACAAAATACCAGGAGACAAAGTGTCAGGACACTGAAAATCTTCCTTTCAAGTCTTGATGTCAACATGTACAAATTAGTCCTACTGGTCTCTTTACATTTCATCTACGATGAAGTTGCGAGAATATCAAGAATAAATAAATTAATGAAACAAAGTAATTTTACAACTACAGTATTATGTACTTTATTTACACCAAATTTACAAAACCTCACCATAAAACAGAGAGTCGTTTATCTGGAACACGATCAGATCGATGAGTATGTTTGTTCACAAAGTTGCGCATTGTGTACCTAGAAAAAAATCACAGTAGCATGAGAGAGGTCCTTTAAGGCACACCTTAGGAAGCAATATAAAGCTCAGAAGAAAGGTACACATGTACTGCAACCTAACACATCAGCAAAGAGGAATATATTCAGAAGATTACATCTTGTCACACTAGGGCAAGTACCTTACAAACTGAGCTGTTGGTAACAACAGAAGGCCAATTAATACATTAAAGTGGTACTATGACGAAAATCTTATCTTTCCTATCTAAGCCGTTTTAAGACATAAAAAAGTAGTCTGTATGAGAAGAAAAATGCTGTGTACTATTTTCAAATATCTCTTTTCATTCCAAAGATATTCAAGTTTTTAAAATATGCATATTAGCCAAATGATGACGTCATACACTCAACCAAATTTTCATGAAATATAATGAAGAAAGTTATCTCAGCCAATTTGTATCAGAAATGTTTGATTCTTTGCAGTAACATTCTTCTAAATGTGCTCCACAATACGAGCATAACAGTTTTGTTACCATGGCAACATACTGGGTTCCAGACCTCCCCAATATCAATGGCTTTTCTGGCCACCTTTGGCATTCCATTTTGACATTTGCCAATGGTGCCTCATATGCATGATCTAGCTAGCATATGAATATGTTAGGTCAAGTTCATGGCCTTGTTTAATGTTTTTCAAGCTGAAAATCACCAAAACATTGAAATCAAGTGGGTGGGGACTGGAAAAGAGTGAGTTGCCATGGAAACAGAATTTGTTATGGCCGTAGGTGTGTTGCCTGTAGAACTATTAACCTACCAGGTTTCATTGGTCTGTGCTGCAAATTGGCCAAGATAGCTCTATTTATATACTTGCTATAATATTGGGTTGAGTATATGACGTCATCAGTTATCTCATTTGCATATTTTACACATTTGTCAAACTTAAATATCTTCGGAACTAATGCAGATATTTGCAAACTGTAAAAGGCGTTTTTATTCTTTCATGCCATTCTATGTAATACACCGAAAAAAATCAGGGAGTTAAAATTTGATCATAGTACCACTTTAACAAATTAAACATGGTTAGCGTTGTCTGTACTCATATCAACAAAGATATACGTCATCACAGTGGTCAAAATGTTGTTGATAAGAGTACAGACAACGCTATACCAGGCCAGTCAAAGGAAAACAAAATTTCCAGTAATGTTGAATTACATTTTGTGACCAATTGAACACGATTGAAAGGTACACGACGTAGAAGAAATTAAGTTGCAGCAAGAAAAGCTGCTCCCAGGGTCAAGGTGGGGACATTAAAACAACATCTAAGCATAAAATGAACTCTAATCACCTGAGAAGATCCAGTGTCTCAGAGTACATTTGAATTGCTGAGCGAGAATCTGATTCCTCATTTTGCTAAAGAAATAAAAAAGAACACAATCCTGAGTCTGATGCCACATTCAACCTTATGAACAACTAAGCAAGAAACAGTAACTAAAGAATGTTAAGATATCAAGGAATGTACCTCAATGGCTTTTCCACATCGAGCAAAGTGTAGCACAGCATCCACGTATAAGAAAGCTTTGGCTTCCTTGTCAGTCTGCAAAAAATAAAATTATTTTGTAAATGTACAGTAATGGGACCATCATTGGCAAATGATTTTTTTCTTTTTGTAACCTATCTGCTTGATGGTGTTTACTTGAGAGTTTAAGAAATTGTTGTACTGGATTTAAAAAAAAAAAAAAAAAAAACAGATTCCACGGAGCAAACTAGAACAAATGTTTCGACATATTTTGCAAAAAGAGGTACAGGGCTACCGAGATGGAAGTAGTTACAGCTCAAATTTTTTATTAGG